TCTATTCTATATGCTTATTCATTCGCTATGCAAAATCTTTCGTGATATAAACGATTATCACGAAACTATTATGCAATAAACGTAAAAACGTGAAAATAAAAATAAACGTGAAAAACGTGAAAATAAAAATAAACGTGAAAAACGTGAAAATAAAAATAAACGTGAAAAACGTGAAAATAAAAATAAACGTGAAAAAATAGTGAAAATATACGTTTCGATTTTATCAGAATGAACCCAGGGTGGATGCTATGCCCCTTCATGTTAAAAAACTTCACAATAACTGCCAAGTATCGCATGAATATGATAAATTTACCACTGGGAAGTTCGATAAAAAATAACGCAATTATCGTACTGCGACTGCGAACAAAGTATAGCAGAATATAATAATAATATTCTCATAGCATAGTTAATGCACCCATCATGTTAAGCTCCACAGAACATATAAGTACGGTTGAAGCATCTCATCTGAACCTGGAAGCAGTGTTCGCGGTCGTGGCTATAGCCGTAGCCGCGAGGCCTTGACGCTGACGCGCGCCGTGTGCTGATATGGCGATGGCGTCATGCGCCCGCGCTCGTGCTCCCCTAAACTTTAATTAATCGAATTAGAAGCAAGTATTGGTAAAGTCGAGCATAGTTGGTGACTTTGTGTAGTTGCTCCTCATAATTAAACATTAGTGAATTATACATAGTGAATTATTTGATTTCTGGTTAGCAGCTCACATTTCAAAATTTCATAAAAAATCAGATACTTCGAAATCAGACTTGAAAAATCCTATATATCTATGATTTTTACTAACAAGTTTTTATAGCAGGTCTTATATTCGTCTGCTTCTTATAATCGTGCTTCTTATAGACTTATAGGGAGCACGATTGGACGTGAATTATTTTTCCAAGCAATATAACGACTCGAATGGTTATCATATATCCGAGTCCGATCAGGATATTTTCCATTGCAAAGCTTCACACAATCAAATACGCAACACATAATCTTTCAAAACGTCATGACATATTCTGTGGAATTGGCCAGGGTAAAGTTTCAAATTAAAGTTTTACTTGATTAAGAAATACTGACGAAATTCTTGCAACGTAAGACGTTAGGAGGAGAAGTGACGTCATAGCACAAGGGTGATGACGTCACAAACAGGCTGGTGACGCTACTGAAGGCGAGTGATCTCACATCAGCCCTGACCCTTAGGCAAACTATTGTCTTTGATATTTCGAATAATTCTTACGATATCGTGGCATCGTAATAAAACTATGAAGACATATAGATTATTTTTATTCTTGGCATCCTACCGAGTGTCGACGTGGACTGTCTCCAAAATCCTTGGTTGATAATGAACGTTTTCCCTGCCGGAGGCTTTGTACTTTGGATTAAAACTCTATGACGCAATTGCGCGCAAGTGCACTAGATGATTATAGAGTAAGGTGCCCTACGCACAGATAATGGGTTCATCAACAGTATTTGATTATCAAATGGCATAACGCATATGAACGCCTTCATGAACAGACTAGACAAAGCTATGCAGGAGCATATGTTCAGTCTTGAAATGCCTATAGCACCTTACGGACCAAACAATAAGTCCAGCAGCTATCTCAATCAATCGTCAGTTATGGAAAGATCGGGTTCAGAAGGCCAGATCCCTTGTGAATCAAGTCACGAAAAGTAAAAGAATCGGCAACAGGTCATGGGCCTATTTCCTCAGTGCCGACACTTCTATTCTATTCACACGATTAAGTACAAATACAGGCATCCCGCAATGTTATGAACTGTTGAAAGATACATGATGAGAGACACTAAGTGTAGCTGCGAGACGTTGGAAGTGGCAGTTCGCACTCAGTCGTAGAATATTATAGCTTTTACCGAACGTAACTTGACTTTTCGATGCAACTTTTTACTGAAAATAGTAGAGTTAGAGAATGTTGACATCAGTTATATTCCAAGCCGTGCTCAAAAAGAGCCAGGATCTCGCGCATCCGTTTCCGTTGTGGCAAAACTGCGGATGCGCGAGTGCGACCGGAGAGGCTAACAACCGCGGGACAGATAATGCAAGTTGCACCACACCGCCGTGCTTGTGCTCTCTACGTAATACGGACCTTTAATTTTAACGGACCTTTAATGTTAACTTTTTACGGACCTTTAATGTTAACTTTCAAGTTGATTTGGAATAGCTTAATGAATGAGATCCTGTACTCAACGCAAACTTTTAATCTTGACTCGCATGATCACAGTTTTATTTGAAGTAGTTTCTTTACATGTTGATGAATGCCAGCCAAAACATAATGCAGACATTTAAACTTGACTGTCACACACTCAAATTTTAATAGGCAGCATCTTTTAAAAATAAATTACTTGCGCTCTTTCACTTTTGCGCTCTTTTTCAATTACTTTCAGAAAGGTCAATATAAAAATAAATTGTGCACTTGATGCATATCTCCAATCTTGACTACCACATGCTCATAGTTTATGTTGGATTATCTTTATAGCATGATGATCACGAGCCTACTCCCTGCACCCACTTGCTTTTATTCTCTGATTAAAGCTACTTATAATGTACCAAGTGCTAACAATTCACGTAGTTTAAAGCAACGTGTCAACGCATTGCATGTTTCAGTGCAATGGCTAAAAATTATAACTAAAAATTTGACAAATATTTTCTTCAAAGAGAAGCTTCAATAATTTACGACTATTTTTCTCGATTTTTTACCTTAGATAGAATTGAAAAGATTCCGGCATAAATTGTCATTTAAGAGCAGAAAAATCATAGAAAATACATTTAAAAATTGATTAAATTGTGATAGATTGATAGTATATAACAAACAATTGTTGTAATATGTTCATGATTTTCAAAAATACGAGCCTCAAATTTACGCAGCCTGCGACCGATTGCAAGTAATTCGATGCCGTTCGAGCAAATAAAGATCATATTACGACACAAAGTTTCTGACCAATAAAAAATGAAAGGATAGAAATTTTTAGATTAAGACTTGTCCGACCCGTTTTAAAAATCTTGACGAGCTTCTGCCGCTACTTTTCTGCAAAACGTAGCGCCATAAATGCAAATTTCCCTCCGTAACCAGCATCCAATATACTAAACTTCTTAAGAGATAAATAAATTAAAATTTCCATAATTAGCTTTGAAAAAAAATTATTGCAAACAAATTTCCAGAGATTTTATCCATTCCACTATAAACAACTGCTAGAAAATATTGAATAAAGTGCCGTGCAGCATCTATAACTTTCCTGGCCCAAGAGGATAAGGATACGAAGAGAACTTTCCATTGAGTAAGAGATAGATAAGTGCTGGTACATTTAAGCTAATTTATTTCGAGTCGTCCAATCTATATGAGTCTGGTAAGTATCTAGATACAACTTTCAAAGACGCAGTTTCCTAAGACGCGATCGGTGTAGATGATTTATTAAAATAGATATACTCATTTTGTACACAGGCCATCGCGCAACACCATGTTATTAATATGAAAAATATGTTGTGTTGAGTAATGAAGGATAAAAACTCGCGATATTTACAAAGGGAATGTGTTAAAAGATCGTTTGCTGTTCGTTCACTTTCCAAGAACGAAAAGTTAGGCTGGACTTCAATCTCAGAACAAGTTTTATGTCTTTTCATTGCAGTTTTAGTACAAATTCTTTTGAATTATATATTCCAGTAAATTATTTTTTTATTACATTACTTTCACTTTCATAAGTAATTTTCGCCCACATTCGTCATTGTACCTCATATGAGTTTGGACCAATTTTTCGCTCCTCATAACAAATGAGAGAATCATCAGTCCGGCACCGGACAACAGGGCAGAGGCAGCCCCGACTAACTCCCCCCGGTCTAATCGATGTCCCCGAGCCGGACGCTCAGACACTCCGGCTCCTGCGCGCGCGAGACGCGACGTCGCTCGAGACACTCAAGTTTAAGCAGGCGCAGGCTGCGATTTGACGATTATTGCTATTTGCTAGAGTAATTCCCTCTACATTGTTGTCGAAGCGTCAAGTGCGCAGTTATCGTATTGGTTGCAGTGATTACGATAGATTTATTTTTAGAAATACTGATGTACTAATATCTGAGAAAGCTTACGCAGTGCATGGAGTGATTTTTGATAAGCTTTTTTTTTACAGTTCAGCGTCACATGTAAGTAATCCAGCACTTAGAATTTTTGAAAATTTCTTTACAAATTTTTAGTGGCCTTAAGTATTATTGTATCACAAAACATGCTCATCAAATTTCATTCACAGTAAAATGTAATTTAATCGAAATAGTATTATGCGGAATAAATGTAAGGAGTAATTAGAAATTACTTGGAAAAATGTCAGAGCGCAAGTTAACTTCCGTTTGAGCGGCACGCAGTAATTCTGTTTTAAATTACTGAATGTTGAAATAATAACTAAGAATTTTTTATTAGGCATATTATGAATGCCTAATAAAAAATTTAGGAAGTGGCCATGAACCCGCATATGAGGTCGAGGAGTAGCCTGGTAGTCTTGCCCTGGTTGTTTACTTGTTATTCCTCGCTTGTTTTCATTTGCAGCGAATGCACTTGTAGGGAGAACAATGATGAAGGGTGCAGCTGAACGGGGCAAGCAAATCGCATTCCAAGTATCAAGCATCACTGCACCAGAATTGATACGTGGTCTCCTGCGTGCTAGCGTATAAAATATTGCTAGTATAGTGGTATGCTAGCAATAATATCACTTCTATGAGGCATGCCCTGGATATGAGTTGATTATCACATACATAACTTAAATTTCACTTGCAGTTAGAAACTAAATTCTTAAAAATAAGGAAAGAAATACGATTTAATCACAAATAAACAACATTGCTTCACATAACTATAAATTCAATATCTGCGCAACGTGCGATAAACAAACTAACAAATAAACGTATATTTTTACAAGCTGAAGATATCTGACAGCTATAAAACATGATGAGTTGAAGATACCTGACAGCTATAGAACATGATTTATCAATTAAATTTAATTTGGTACTTACAAGTGCTGTGGTGGTGCCACTAATCTCGAGCTTAGTAGGTAGTGCCTCGGTGGTCACTGAAATTGTGACCACTACCATCACACCGACAATCAATCTCAACTCCATCATTATTCGTAGGTTTTCTCCCAGGCTATTAATTAACTATAAGTAGATCGTGACGGAGCAATCAATGGCAATTATTCAGATCACTTGCTAAAAACAATGCCGATCGAGGTTTTCGGACCGAGGCCAAACAGAATGTAACAACGGTTGAATATTTGACCGACTTGACGAGATCAACAGTCGCTCAGCGCACTTTCGACCTACCACACACTACACCGCCAAGCCAGAGTCTGCCGTTGCAGGGCGGTAGTTCTGACCTTATATACTTGCAGCCGCTGCAACTCGCTGACCAGTCGTGAATGCTGCTTTGTTTATGTAATCAAGATTATTTGTCGTGTGCCTTGCACAAAATTACTAGACTGGTAAAATCAGATATATTTGAATGAAATTTTATATATAAATTTTATTCTCTCTCTAACGATTGATAACAACTGCTAGCTCGTCGCATGCACCTTATACTCTTTCGAATGAGTCATCAAAAGTCATCTTCTCCGGACTGTGTTGCATACTTCTTACTCACTACTCAATTTTCAATTCAATTAAGGGATTACATCTAAAATATATCGGATGTAACCGTATCAATACGCGTGCCAATTATAATGAACTCTAGAAGTATTGTTTCAGTTTTTGATCATCGATGACGCATGTCGGCCGAGAGGCTAAGAAACTTCCGTTCCAACTAACGAGTTCTTTCTCACCAGCGCGACCGCGCGGAAAGTCCACATAGGCCATTGACAACTGTGCAATTAAACGTTCTCTTGCATCTTGAGAATAGAATAATAATCGAAACGAGTCGTCCGGCACAAAGGAAGTCAAATGGAAATTATAAATTCTATTTTGAAGACACTATTATTCAGCATATGCAGAACATAAGTAGGAAATTGTATTAAGAAAAATATTATTGATAGTGACGCATAAAACTATAACAGTAACATCCTTTCATTTTTGGATCGGCAAATTCGGGTAAAATTTTAATCGAACGTGGCCAGATCTCACAGCAATAGCTTAGCGGTACAGAAGCGGTAAGCAAAATGGTCGTTGTTCATTCATGGATTTAAAAGATATAAATATCTCAAATTCGCAAGTGAAAAACAATTTCACAGCAGTTACACAGATTTTAAAGTTTCACGACTTCTAAGCAGTTGAGGATGAACATTGTTGAGCCATTTAACATTCAGTCCTAAAATGCAGAATATACGTGGGGAAATAATATCCCGAGGAAAGTAAAGCAGGGCAAGTTATGGGCTTTCCCTGCTGTATGCAACGCAACGCCTCGGTGTGGGAAGTGATGTTGTGCAAAGGAAACTAACTATGGCGATGAAGATGGAATGAACCAGTCTTGTTTTTAGGGATTCCAGTTATTACTGAGCGTAGAATTCCTAAGCTCAGTAATAAGGTCGGAAGTTATGTAATTTTTGGTGCGTAAGTACGATGCAGGATTATATTCAGCAGATGACGAAAGATCTCACGGTATAATTCATTATTTTTTTTTCTGCATCAAGAAACTTTTTATGCAATGATCGAGCGATTAGAAAACGCGACAAAGATATAAATTATCTTGAGAGTAAATAAGAGTTTCACACCTTAATCCTACTCATTACTTCTTGGCTTTTGCTACTTCATAATGGGGTTTCTGACTAGGTTAGCTCATTCGTAGAGCAGCCACTACAACGAATACAAGACTACAGCCACTACAGCTAGGCGCCAACATAAAAAATTTCCAGTCGAGTCGCGGTTAAACGTCCTTTTGGTATCCATACGATTAGATTGTGAAATACCATTTACACGATTGAAGTAGATTAGAGAAATTCTATCCACTATGAACTTGGTGTAGGTAGATGTGATTATGCAAAGTGTAATTTATAGGATCTAGACGATAACTTCAGGCTTACGCGGAAGTAGCGCCCTGGGATAAATGTAGATAGCCAGCGATAACACCCGTTATCGCTGTCACGTGAGAGTGGGAGGAAATTACTTACGTCTGACATCGGCATCACCCACTAGCAAGATATTCATCCAGGCCGCTATTGAACTACATCCTTGTTGGCCCTTGAAGGTTTTTTCATATTGTTACAAGCTTTGTTCTTTCGAATAGCGTGTCTTTAAATAACGGTCAAGTTTTTCAGAATATTAGCATCGTTCGGGAAACTCTAATTATAGCGCAAGGCTGCGACAGGTAGTTGTGTGCACAAAGCGAACAAATGTCTCAGTCAAATGTATTAGGTTTGAAAATAAAATTGACCAATTGCAAGTGTATAATTTGTTTGTTTGTCCATTTGTTTAACTAATTTTTCATCATCCCTTGTTTAACTACTTTTTATTATCTAAGAAGAAAATCAAATACGGGCATTCTCCGTAACATTAAGAACTGTTGCGCCTGTGGTCCACAACAAGCTTTGCATGCATTAGAAACGAATGAATGAAATGAATACAAACGAGTTCATCGGAAACTCCAACGAGCTTCCGGTGGCAGCGAGCCGCGTATTGCAGGTGGCCCCAGTTTTTACGAGGTCCTGGAGAATGACGTCACTGTCGCCCATGTAGCTAAGGAACACCGCACAATAGTGCCAATGGTCGCAATCCAAATATTATAATTAGTCTTTTTACTTGATATACAAACATGCATCTGAAACAATAAACTTTTAACCCTAGATTTGAAATCAAGGTAAAATAGGAATGACTATCTAAGAACTGTCTGTTTCACGAGAATTAGTGAACTCCACTTAAACGGGCACTTGGGAGTGCGCATGGCGACGTGTAGTAACTGCACTCGCTGGAAGTTCTTCTCTTTCTGCGACATGCATTAGGAATGAGGATGCAGTATGAGAACACATACGGACGACGTGCGGTGTCTGACAATGCCAGCGATGGTTACTCTTGCAGCGTTTGTTTACAAAAAGTAAAAATGGTTTGATCACTTCTGGTGCCTGGGCACAATAGTAACCATCAGCTGGAACTAACCAAGAATTCCACCTTCGCCTATAAGTTAGTGGAGATTCCTCCAAACTACTCAGTCGTGCGACAAATTAATTCACTCTATAGGCGCCCACGATGTTGTGTTGATGCTGTCTTAAAAAAATGATAGAGATTTTTATGCACATGTGTACTCATATGAACTTTGCACAAATTACACATTTTGTGTACTTTGCGTAAAACTTGATCATTAGTAAACTTCAATTAAATAAAGAAGCATGATTTCTATACTAGGTAACCCGAAGGAAAGTTATACCAAAACCAAATAAACCATGAGCATAAAATTGCGATAATGAAGGAGTAAAACTTGTAAAACAATTTCGATATAAAAAAATCATATTCTCAGTCATAATCGGAATTTCAGTTGAGTACTGGCATCTTTCGAAAAAAGTATAATAAACTATTCATGGTATAAATTACACATTCATTTGTTACATTTCACTGGCAAGCAACACCACATACACATTCATTATAAATGCGAACTAATGCAGTTGCTTTATGTCATTCATCAAAGTATGATTTAAAAGTAAATAAATATAGTTCGAATTAGACAGTAAAAGAGCTGCGATGGCACTACGTTTCTTCCGAACAATCGATCAGGATAAAACTTGGTTCTGAGCTCAATGTCATTCAGCAACAATTGTAGCAATGAATGTTCATGGCAGCGATTGCGATGGGGCAAGAGGATGCCTTTAATTCTTACGTGGACACCTGATGACTCACGCTCTTCAGAGAACGCTGATCTGTGGCACATACACATACATTTATACCCAGTCAGGGTACGAGGGAACTTCATGCCATGGTTTAACATATATAATTTGTTCAACCCTGCCTAGTGTTCCGCGCTCGACCAATAGAAATAAAATTCTTGAGGGAAATTTCCTCGTATAATGAATTAGTTATTAAGTAACATTGCGTGATTCATGAGTTAGAGGGCCAATTCAATGACGTAATCAGAAAATGTAATGTATATAGTGTCGCAAAGAAATCTTAGCATTTCCTTGAATTCAAATTGATACAATGTAAATTTAAGTAGGTTTCAGAAAAGTCAATTGTTTTGTAACACGGAAATACATATTTTAGTTGCTAGATGGAAGTTGAAAATAAAGAACTTGAGTAATGCCGTACATGAATAACAAGTACTTGAAAGCGCGTTATGACATTTTCCTGGCCTGTTAAAACATATTTGTGTCCAGAGGCGTTTCTTGTTTGTTTTGAAAATGATCACTGAATATATTTTATGTATCAATTATCTCATTACGCATTGTAAATATTTCCCTGCTATCTGTGCCAAGGTTGATCTACCCAGAAATTGTTTCATTTGACCTCAATACACGGAATACAGGTCCGTATCTCTTGTTTGACTTCAGCGATAACAGGATGTTTGCGGAATAGTGTTTCCTTCCCGATTTGTTGGATTAAGGATGAACTTATTCCCCAAGTTATTGAGAAGCTTAGGCGCTTCAAAATTTCTAGCACAAACGCTCTGATGCGCAATTTTTAACCGTTCTGCCCAAAATTTTACGGTTTACGGTTTCTATTTCACATTAGTAAATGGGAGATGTTGTACCGACGAAAAAATTATTGTAGCTCTGAAAAAATATAAATAATGGGATAGGGATAACAATACTAAGGATGGTTTACAACTTAACGGGTGTTTTTCTCTTCATATAATAAAAAGTTTAGATGCCTATGCTTCAACAAAAACCAATGACCGTGAGTTTCATGCAAGCGACGAATAATTTTTCATATCGAGGGTAAATGGTGCTGCATGAACTACGAAAGCTACATTGTATTGCACCATGCAGCGGTAAGAGCCGCTATAAGCTTTCACGTACACTAAACATACCGGAAAATGGTAGATACACAGGACACGATGTTTATATTCCGCTTGTCTGGCCGCGGAAATTAAACGTCTATTTATGCGCCCTTTAATGGACATTTTCACATGCAGCTTGATGGGAAACTTCAACGAAGGGTGTGCTGCCAACATTCAAGGTTAGGCTGTCACTTATTTTCCAATGCATAATAAATATTTGTTCGTTATGGTTTACACGGCTCATCTTCGCAGACCCTCAGCGGAAACTCTCACGAGTAGTATAGTTAGTTGTCCTGCCGGAGAAAGTCAGGAAATTCGCAGGTTCTTAAGACCTGTGCTAATCGGATAAGTTGCATGAGTAATACAAGACTTTGATTTTATTGTAAGCAGGACTTAGGTTTTTGTCAACTGATTCAAAAAATTTGTCGCT